TTCTAAAACATTATTAATATTCTAAAAACAAGTAACAAAATAAAAACCATATTTTGATTTATTTTTACCTCTAAATCTAGTATTGAAAATTTCAAAAACACTATTAACGTTGACAAATATCCCCAAACATATATTCTACCAAATAAAGTACCCCTCCACCAATGAGATCGCTGGATTCGTGAATACGTAGTACCCGGTACTATTCAATTTAAAAATGAAGTTCTTGAATAAGACCCTGGGTACTATAGACAGTGGCCAACGGTAAATTTTATTGTATAATAATTAAATGTATCATCTCCCGTTTATAATGTCATCCTATTAAGATAAGCCGTCATTCACCAAAAAGAATCAATATTAATAAAATCATACTTATCCTTCAACATTTTTCTTTCCCCAATTATAGTACTCGTAAAACTACTAGATACTCTAGCACAACCTTTTCGTCCCCTTAAGAAAAAGTTTGCATTTATGCAAATTAACTTATCAAGTATTCCTTGTATACCAGGTTTTTTAATTTCTCGGTTATACATTGGATCTTTTCTAATTTGTGATAACCCATCCATTGAAATCCATGTATTGAATTTTATATGATCGGAACTATTTACGAATTTCATATGATCGGAACTATTATATAATCCAAGTATTTTAAAGGCTTCTTTATGAAACTTTGTGATTTTACGAAATGTTTCTGATTGAGTTCTAACGTTATTAAGTGGAAAATCACCTGCAAGATATACATTTTTTATTCCGTATAGATTTTGAATTTTTTTCACCGTCTTAATTAGGTTCTTGGCACATTTTGGAATCAATGATGGTTGTCCGCTCTCCATTCTCCAATGAATAGCTATATAAGGCTTTAATTTATTTATAATTTTCTCGGATTCTTTAATAATATATGGTGAATACGGAATTACTTTATCGATACTTGGAAACGTTTCTCTAGGTAACTTGTTTAATATCATTATTACTTCATATTCTCCTGTCATCGGTGGTGTTTTTAAGGTGTCTGTAACAAATTTTAACATTACTTCTTTGTTTAATTTTTTTTCAATCCCTGCATGAATTACTTTGTAATTTGTAATGTTTAGATTAAATTGACCTATGCAAAGAGATTTTTTTGTTTGATGCCCAAATTCAACACCTTCAACTTTTATAATTTTTTGATTTCCAAGGTCTTTGAACATCCACGAATGTTGTGCAATTGGTCGGACTTTTCTTTCTTTTGTCCATTCAAAAAATTTGGGTTGTGTTATAAACCGAATATCTGGATACTGTTTTTGAAGTGCATCAACATTATAATAAAAATCGAATGGATATAAAGAACATGCTTTGACTTTCGAACTTCCAACATTTGGTAGGACTAATGTACGATTTAAAGTTCGTGCTAATTGTATGTAAGCGCGAGTATGAATATTGGCGCGAGTCTCTTGTTCTGGTTGCTGATATGGAAATAAGAATTTACATATTTTTTCTTGACAGTATTTTATATTAATCTTTTCATCCTCCGTTAGTGGTATTTCAACTGATGAATTAATTGTATCGTTCGTTAGTGATGTTTCAAACGATGAATTAATTGTATCCTCCGTTGGTGATGTTTCAAGCGATGAATTAATTGTATCCTCTGTTAGTGATGTTTCAAGCGATGAATTAATTGTATCCTCCGTTAGTAATGTTTCAAGCGATGAATTAATTGTATCCTCCGTTAGTAATGTTTCAAGCGATGAGTTAATTGTATCCTCCGTTAGTGATGAATTAATTGTATCCTCCGTTTCAAGCGATGTATCCTCCGTTAGTGATGTTTCAAACGATGAATTAATTGTATCCCCCGTTAGTGGTATTTCAAGCGATAAATCAATTGTATTCTCGTATAATGTACTCTGTCAAATAGATTTATTAATATTAAGTATTTCCTATATTTAAACCTATTAATTTTTAATGTATTATCTTTTAAAACATTCGAAGAAATGTTTACTCAACTGATTCTGTGAACTCTTGTTCTCCTAGTTGTAAGGCAATACTGATAAAGCTCCATAGTAAGAAAATTAATACAATTGTATATAAGACTTTTTTTATTATAAATCCAAACATTATAGTTTGTAAAGTGTTAAAGTGCTAATTTTGATAGTATCTTATACATAAACATATATGCTACTTTCTTTTTAAAATAAATACTTTTTAAGAAACATTCTAATGGGATAAATTATTTTATTTATTTTTTTTATAGATATACTGTATATATTTAAGGGCTTTATAATTTATCGCTATTATATCGCTACCCCGGGCCGATGTCATACTTAATTGTCTGTCGCGTTTCAATATTCAAACTCCGATCATGATTTAGAGGTAAAAATAAATCAAAATATGGTTTTTATTTTGTTACTTGTTTTTAGAATATTAATAATGTTTTAGAA